TCTTACAAGAATTCTTTGAAGTATTATAAAATAAGGATATTTAGCTAAGTTTTATATTACTGGATAAAGATACTAGAGAGATAATAATGATACAAGAAGCTTGATCATGAATATCAAATATTCAGCTTTGTTTATAATATATTAAGCAGTATCTAAAATTGACTTGCGAAGCTTGCAGACCACAAATAATTTTAAATTTCCGCAACCAAAATCTGATATGCATGTGCAAATTCCATAAATAAAATTTTTGACTTTTCGCAAGTCTCCACATATTAATTTTAGATTATACATGTTCTGCAAGTAAAATATTTAATTTACTTGCAGGATTTAAAAATCTAGAAAATAAATTTGAAAACTTATATTTTAATTGTTTAATATTTGCTAGCAATGGCTAGCTACTGAATCAGATACTTCCATAATACTTTATTGCAACAATAACTGCTGCATGGCAGGCTATACTTAAAAAGCACTCTCATCAGTCATATTATAAGAAATAGAATGAGAGAAAAGCAAAGAAATTTTATATAATCATATGATGCGTATATTCTGGTCTTTATTACGTATAGACTATTTACATCCTTCTGACATCATCAATCTCATAGTTTCTTGTTAATACTAATAGCACAAATGCTTAGATTATACATCATCAGTTACTGTACTACATCATATCCATTTTATCTAATTACTTCAGGTTCCATCTCAAACTAATTATTTGTAGATTTGTCTATCGATCTTGTATTATATTCTCATAATTTTCTAATTTAGTAAATTTTACTCATCACCATTCATTTTTACTCTCACGCAACAGACAAATAAATTTTATCAAATATAACTAATGTTCCAAATACACTTGACAAATATCTATATTCAATTAATGAATTCACTGAATCATCTGAATTATTCATACTAGATTCAAAGAATAATAAGTGAAAAGAAAGCATGTCGATCTATAGTTTTACAAAAAAATCATGCAAGGAAAAGAACAAAGATGATGATAAGACATATACATGATCAGATTGGGATCAAAACTGGATTAAAGAATATTCATAGCTCAATTATTGACTTGATATCAATGGTATGCCCAAAATATATTATGTTTAGTGTATAGCATATAATCAGCATTCTACTGGTATTTTCATTATTAGCACAAAGAGATTCAAAAAAAATTATTTAGAGAAACACATTATAATTAAGAAACACAAAAAGGCTATAAAAAAATATACTGGACATCCATCTAATCAATTAGATCTAATGAGTGGATTTACAGCACAGGCTAGAGTTGATAAATTAGATATTATTGCTAAAATACGCTATGTATATCTTTGTGCAAAAAAGCATCTTGCAATTGAGATATTTCCTGATCTAGTTGAATTAATAATCCTTCAAGCTCAAAACAAAATAGAATTAGTATATAACAGGCCTCCCATTACCATTTCATCTCCTACTATTGGTCCCAAGAAAGCTCTTTCAGATGTAACTTCAGATGATCAATTATCAAATTATACAGTATATAGTAATTCAATGGCCGGTGCTGATTTTTTACATGCTATTGCAACAGTAATCAAGAAAACAATTTTGGCAGAAGTTTCAGCATCTTCATCATGGAGTTTATTGATTAATGAAAGTAATATGATCACTCATGATAAAATATGTACTGTTATTAGTAAACACATGACAGAGAATATACCAGTACTTCAATATTTGGGATTAATTGAATTATATGAGACAGATGCAGAGACTATAATAAAGAATTTGCAAAATTTTTTCATTATCAAAATGCTAAATATACAGAAATTAATGTATTTTGATAGTGATAGTGCTAGTGTTATAATTGGTATATATAAATGTTATTTATTTATTTCTGTAATATTATAAATTCTAACAATTTATATAGGAAATCAAACTGGTATAGCCACTCAATTGAAAGAAATCAATCTATTTATGATAAATTGTTATTGTATTGCATACAGATTGAATTTGACTGGCAAAGATTCAGCAAATGACATTCCATACTTCAAGAATTATGAAGCTGTAATAAAAGAAATTTACACATATTTTGGATCTTCACATCAAAGATGATAATATTTAAGATTATTTCAATCATTAGATAAAGAGAATCTATAATTGGCTGTATTATGTGTTGTTAGTACTTGATGGCTATCACTTTCCAATGCAATTTTCAACTTACACCAAATAATATTCTCAATAAAGAATACTCTTCATGATGAGGCTCTTAATAACTCTTGTACAAAGACCAAACAATGAGCAAAATCTTTATATAATGATATTGATTCAGAATTTATCCTGGCAACCAAATATCTTGCAGATATTCTCTCAACAATCAGCAAACTTATAAAAGTATTTCAGTCTGATTATGTCACATTATCAGATGTACATACACAATTAAATATGGCAATTGAGTTAATTACTTTGGAATTTATTGGCAATGAAGAAGATAATATTGCATCAACTTATGGATATCATTTACATACATACATGGATAATACACTTCAACATGATGAATTATCTCTAACTTTTAAAGAATTTGTAGTATCATTTATCAAAAATCTTCACCAATAATTTTCTGATACTGGTCTTTACAATACTATGTGAATTTTTGATTTTTCTCAAATTCCAACAAGTTCTAGAGAAATATCAACATTTGGAAAAGATGAAATCCAAACTCTAGGTAATTTTTATGGAAAATTCAAGCAACAAAATGATGTAATTTTTTCAGCAAAAGTGCATAAGAATGAACTTCTTAAAGAATGGCAGGAGACAAAATTAGTTTTGAAAAATTATAAAGAATTGGATTTTGTGGAAGAATGAAAATGAATTTTTGATACTTCTCAATTTGTTGTGCTTTATCCTAATGTAGCCAAAATAGTATTTTTTGCTTTGATTATTTCACTTTCAAATGGTAATATTGAAAGAATTTTCTCTTAATAAAATCTTATAAAAACAAAAGTGCGTAATTAAATGAAGCTTAAAATACTTAATTCATATATTATGATAGTTATGAATAGGCCAGAATTAAGAGATTTTGATTTTGAAAAAGCATATGATATTTGGCAAAGACTTCCAAGACGAATTTAAAATTAGCTTTTCTTTTTTATTATAATAAAATTTATTTTATAAAACACGTAACTATATATTTATTTCTGTAAATATATAATATATATTACTTGCAGGTATGCAATTAAAATTTAAAATCTGCAAATAAAATTATCTATTTTGTTGTGGGTTCGCAACCAAATTAAAAATTGAATTTTAGATACTGATATTAAGCATACTATAGAAAAAAAATTAAATGAGTAAAAATTTCATAGAAGTTAATATACAGCTAAGAAATCTAGTAAAATTTACTGATAATTTAGCTTTATCAATCCAATATGACTTTTTAAAGATCAAGAAATCTGCAAATGTGCCAAAGAGAAAATTAAGAAAATATTGCAAATAATAAAAAAGCATACTCTTTTACATTCTTTGATATCTTTTGATACAGATCAATTTCTTGTATCTTTAGAACTATATATACTTTATACTTAAGAGACTTATCAATACTACTGGCAAAAAAATTATATTATAATATGAGAATATCTTTGATATAATTGGTATAATCATAAGAATTAATAATTATTTATTCATATTTCATATGTCAATATATTGCTAATCACTTAGATAATAATGATTACTGAGTCTTATTAGAGAGTACTCAAGTATAATTATAAATACAATTATAATTACCCATATTTTGATCAATTAACTCAAATATTAATATAATAATTAGTCAAAGATATGAAAAATATAATAGCACTTTATCTTAATGGATGTATATTTCTCACCTGGTAAAATACTTTCAAATAAGAATAGTTAAAACTTAGCCAAAAATCAATCAGTAAGAAAGAAAGATATAATACATATCTAGAAACTTGAATATATTCATGTCTTGTATTTCTAAATAATCACTTTCTGATATACAAGCATCTTGTTGCAAAGAAAACTAGTTTGATACTAGATTTTTTTTCTTGTTTTGTCTTTATAAAGCATTAGCATAATTATTCATTTATCTCTTTTGATATAAATTGTCATTAGCAAATCAACATATATAATAACTCTTGAAATAGATATACATAAATTATTAGCACATCCATAATATCTACAAGTAATTCTTATATCATCATTAATTGATATCAAGACTCTAAACAAAATAAAGATGCAATAAATAGAATTAGATGGATATTTGAATTAGAAGTATCTTTATTAGAAGAAAATATGAAAAATAATAAATTCATACAAGAATTCAAAAGAATAAACAAGTTACTTGCACAAGAAATTGATGAATATTATGAAGTTCTTAATGCAAGAACTTAGCAACATATCATATAGCACTCCAGAGATTAACAATTGGCTTTTTGATTATATTGAATATTAATATCTCATAATTTATATATTAGTGTGAAAAGTATTATTTTTTTCTTCATCTTTTTTATTGAATGTTAATATATTATTTATTAAACTAATACATGTAATACCAAATATAATATTACCATTATATATTAAACTAATTCCAAAAAAGGAGATCTACATGGGCGAGAACTCCGGAAAGACAGAATGTGATCGGAAGTCACATGATCTGTCATTTTTTCTGTTTCACTTTGTTACTACGGCAAGTTTACTTTCTTAGCACGCTCTATTTGAAACTCTGTGATTTCTAAAGTTCCTTTTTATACTGTTAGGAATCTCGTTAGATGATCCTGATTTCTTTACTTTGGACCGCGAGTGAACACTGTTAAATTTTCTGTTATATCGACAAAAATGTTCTGATTTCTGTGCCGACAAACCTGAGGAACACAATCGATATACTCGTAGCCTTGCTAGTATACTCAGCCACGAACAAGCATTCCCGGAATTGACTAAACTGGCTGGCGACGCGCTTAATTTGTTACAAGTTAAGTATTACTTTTTGATGTGTTTTGTTGGCAGTGGATGGGTCTGAAATGGCAATAGCCTTTTTGGATGGGGTTGCGACCTGCGTTCAACCACCCAACATCCTTGATTGCGATTGGGGATGGTTAGTTGCGACTCGGGTGGTTCCGTCCTGCCGAAATATGCTCAACCACCTAACATTCCTGATTGCGATTGGGAATGCTTGGGTTGCGACTCAGGTGGTTGTTCCTGACGAAATGTGTTTAACCACCCAACATTACTGATTGCGATTGGGAATGCTTGAGTTGCGACTCGAGTGGATGTTTACACATTTTTTCATTAATATCTATCACTTCTGATTGTAATTGGGAGCTTGTGAGTTGAGACTCGGATGATTCCGTTTCTTACAAATTTGATTTATTTTTTTATTAATAGAAAGAAAAAAAGTCAAAATCGATTGATAACTTCTGGAAGACGGTTACGTTAGCGCAAGAGAAGAAAGTGGCAAATGAAATCGAACGTTCAGTTTTGTTGGTATGAGATATTACGGCAATATAACAAGGTACACAGCAAACGTGAACGCTAACCCTTCAACGTGATAGGCAAGAAAGTTTGGTTCGAGAAAAAGTTACAAGACGATTAGAGAGTATAGATGATGATCGCACGTACAAGCGTCACAGGTCACAGTCTTCGAACATTGAGGTAGTTATATTGTTGAATAGCCAGCTTTTAATATGAAATTTACTTCTTACCTTTCCCATCTTCGACGTGTTTATCAGAATAATCAAAAAGAAAATAACACAGAAGCGATTAATAACGAACAAAATTTAGGTGAAAAGCGAGTTGAGGTAGGTTTCTATAAATGATCAATTGTATGAAACATCTTTCTAACTTGTTTTTTTATGACCTCTTTAGGAAGAACATACGAGAAGGTATAGTCTAAGAGAACGAGAAGAAATTAATTATGCTGAAATTTCCGATTCAGATATTTTGGATCCATATCATGAACGGATGTTCCGTCCCACAAACTGGACAACCCGGAATGCAAATCCTCCAGTTATATCACCATACAGGCCAATTATAACGAAAGCAACATATGATCAGATTTCAACACATATAATTTGCGCCTTCAACACAACAATACATCTTGTTAAGGAAACAACAGAAAGTACTTTATATGAAAAAATCGAAAAACTTCTCAAGATGAGAAACAAATTAATTTTAAAGAGGCCAATAACTGAAAAACTTTACGCAATTTTCCACGCAGATTATTCGGAAATTATTTCAAAAATAATGACAGAGACAGAAGCTGAAGATAGTGAAACGAGCGAAGAATCGAGATTTCTTTTTTTCATAAGGCACACCTTACTAGACTTTGTTGCAATGTTCAAGTATCTGTCACCCAAGGTTCTGGTTCGGGATATGTCCGAAAGATCATATATTGTTGAATGTCTTTCACCCATACTCCGAGCCTTCAGGAATGCATTCCCCGACGTGAAGTACGAGTGGATCGAAAAGGATGTTAAAACATTAAAGGACGCGAGCAATATGTTCATGATTAACGTGAGGGCCCGTAAAACTGATCTGCTGGTTCTGAGATTATCGGATGCCAAGAAATTTTACATGTTGAGGTGTCCGGGCCACCTTACAAACCTGAAAAGAAACATACAGTCAGAGATGCCAAAAAATTACTCATGATGGCCGTTTGCAACGAGTCTACCAGCGCGACCCCCAAAAGTTCGGGCCACGTGACTTCGTCGATCGGTTCCGGCTTCTCCGATCCTAGATGATACAAAATTTCGGACTAATGTAATAATGATGGAACGATTCTCTGTTTTCGCTTCATTATCATTATAATACTTTTAATTATTTATTAAACAATAATCTGCATATTACTTAAAAATACATTAGTATTAATCTTACAATGTAAACCAAAATATATATAACGAGTCTTTGAACAAATAAAGAACATTCTTAATTATGTACAATTATTCTCAAAATTATTAGACTTGTGAAATCTCTACTATGATAATTGCTCTAACATTTTAATAAAACCTTCTAATCCAGGGATCAGAAAGTGATATTGTAAATCAGATAATTGACGAAAAGAATAACACGCTTTATTTAACTATTAACTAGAAAAAAGTCTCATCTGAAATTAGAAAATCAAGACTAATTAAGAAATCCACATATAATTTATCTAAAACCCAAATTCTTCCATCCACATAATTCATATCTGTAGATTAGATTAAACCTTACACTCCTCTTGTTTAGAATCTACCAATATATAACATGACAGATCCTTTTTTTATTTGATCATAATTTGATCACGTGACATAGGATATGTTATAATAAGCGTGAGATAATATAAAGATCGCAATTGTGAAAGTTCAATTGCATATTTTAATGTTGATACTAAATCCCAACTGCACATAAATTCATTAAAAAGTTCAACTAATGGCATTATTTTGCACTAAATGCAAATATAATCGCTCTAAAGATCAATTTATTTGGAATGGTGTCTGTCACAAGACATGTAGAAAGTGCAAAGAGAACCATAGCCAAAAGAATAATCATAATGATAATCAAAATGAACTCGTGTTGCCAACTAAAACCAATCATAAACTAAGCTAACATGAGAATATAGAATTTTCTTCTGATCTTTCGAATAAATCTCATAATATAGATAAATTATTACAAGACACGAAGAAAGTACTTCATGAATTTGAGGAAGAATATAGCATGAAAAATGATATTAATAATATAGATGCAATAGAAAACTCAGCAGTAGAATATATAAGTAATGTCACATATACTGAGATCAATTATTTTGATTTGGGAAACTTTATTAAACATGAAATCCAAGAACTCACAGTTGATGCTCAAATTGATAGCGTAGCAGATATAGTTTATCAGACTTACTTGCTGGTACATTTTGATATTGCTATAGCTCAAGATAAGATAGCGAAGGATATTGCTGATCTTGTTATCACTGAAATTGAGAGTGGAGATGATTACTCGTGGAAGTAAGTATCTCTCAATATTAAAATACATTACGGATATTACTTACTATTATTATAGCTTTAAAAAAGCAAAATTATTAAGAAAATTTGAAAGCACAGTTGGTCAGTTCTCTTACATGTACTGTTAATCGAAAGAGACACAAAGAGAGGAACACAAAGATTCTAATTATAAGAGATGAATGTGTTATGATTGTAAAGGTAGGATTGCAATACGAGTTGATATGATCCTCAACATTATAACTATAGATATTTATCACAGATCCCTCCATCCACACCCAAATCTCTGCATCAAAATACCTGAAGAACTGTGACAAGAAATCAAAATAAACTCACATCTTACCATAGTAGAATTAAAGAATCACCTGCAAAATAAGAGTTTTGATATCTCAAAGTACTCTTCCAAACGCATTTATTTTTGGAAGTCCATGACGAGCCGGAAACTATTTTAACGTAATGATAATCATGTTGAATCTGCGTATAAGCTACTTAGTAAGTATGTAAGTCAAAACTTTTACTGGTGCCTAAATATAAAAGATTTGGAAGCTATAGCCATCAGTTTTACCACTCCGTTACTGGAAGAGATTAAAAATTGCAACATCAACATTACTAAAATCTATCTCAATGCAACCTATAAAACTGCATGAGGATATTATGAACTTTATGATATTATAGCAGATGTTAAAGGTACTGGCTTTCTAATTACCTATCTCATACTTGATACAACCAAGGCAACAAATACAAATACTAGCATGAGCAGGCATCACAAAGTCTTAGAAAGTTTCTTAGAAACCATAAAGACACGCAATATTAATCCAAAATTCGTATTCACAGACAAAGATTTTGTGGAAATTAATGCTGTGGCTAAGGTGTGGAGTCCTTTGATAGTTCAGCTATATACTTGGTACATGAACTGGGCCCTTAAACTTAAACTCAAAGAGAAAGCCAAGCTGTCAGACAATGCAGAGAATGCAGAACACAAGTTATACACTGCAACTTACAATATCAATCAAGTGACTAGCGAGTTTAACTTTATAGAACCCATCTTTTACCTAACAGAAGAAGATCGCAATTCAAGAATATATACCATCTGTCTACCAGTACATCGAGGGTTGATTTTGAAGATGATGCAAAAACATTTTGATATGCATCCTTTGATATCTATTGATGCTCAAGGAAATTCTATGATATCAAAAAATATTAGAAAACGCACTATAAAAGAGATTTATCAGTTCTGCGTTGAAAACTCACTACGTCTATTATAGACCTATTTATGGACTAACTGGTATTCACCAAAATGATGGCATCTGTGGGCATGATCAACTAAACCTACTATACCTTTTAGTAAAATGATGATGATGATTGAAGTCCACTGGAGTGTCATCAAATAATACTACCTATACCAGTTTAATCATTCTAGACTCGATCTGTTGCTTTGGACACTTTTTAATGAGGTAATACCAGCACAAAAAGAGTGGCTTTTGCAGATTCTGACTGATGTGATGACACCATAGTGATGGGAGGATTTCAAGAAAGCGTGGCTTGTTGCAGGTTCAAGTAACAATTAACATATCAAAGGCAAAAGAAAATGAGACATTACTGAAAAAATAAATAGTTAATATTTTACTAATATTGCTCGTTGGATTTACAGCTGCCCCACCTTTCTTGGAAGTTACTTCTTATTATGCAAGTATTTAGTTTAGTAAATTTTTCTTACATCTAATGGTGAATGATGACAATTATTGAAAAATAATTTCAAACGCCAGACCACCTCACCATTTCTTGTTCTAAAAAATATTGATGATGAAACTAGCAACCTTCCTGTTTTACCAATTGATGATTCTATTGACCTTGAAGCCGCTATTAACAACACACCTAGTAACGTTAATATTAACAAAGATCCTGAAGAAGAAGACCGTGATTATATTGAATCAAATTGATTATTATTTGAACAGGTGATCAAGCAAATTCACAATGAAAAGTCAGCTAATAATTGGCATCAGATTCACGCAATAATGGAAGGGAGCCAATTAATATCAATAGAGAAAGAAATACAGACTGTAGAATAATGGAGATATCAACAAGTGACTTGGATGATAGCAACTAGAAAACCATATCTTATGTATTTGTCCTTCTCAGATGAGTTGAGTCATAAATCGAGTTTGGAAGAGAGCGTGTCAGCCAATGATATTGAAGCGCAGAATATGTAATGAGATTAATAAAAAACTGTCTAGGAGAATTTCATTTTTTTAATATTAAATATGGTATATTTAAAGCAAAGTAATAAAACACTTGTATGTATATTATTGGTTAGATTTTCATTATTACATTAGTCCGAAATTTTGTATCTCTAGGATCAGAGAAGCTGGAACTGATTAATGAAGTCACGTGGCCCAAACTTTTAGGGGTTGCGCTGGTAAACTTGTTTGTAACTTGTGTAGGATACTGGCAAATAATTTTGATTGCCTAATTAATGATGCAAAGAAAGTCAAATCTTATAGTATTCAAGCAATTGGGAACTGATTAACTTTATTTTCTGTCTCACTTGTTGAAAAAAAAAGTATTTAGCCCTAGAATTAGCTTCATGTATAATTCCTTTTTCTTTTAAGCCATCACGTGTTATTCAAAAATCTTTAATTTTTTTGCTTTATTCCTTCAGTTGAAGATGATACAGATGATTTACGAGAATGGATAAATTTATCTGATGAAGATTTAACACCCGTAACAGAAGATAATATGGATGAACTCCTTTTATATGATGTTCAATAAAATTAATTAGATAGAGAACACATATCCTTAATAAAATAATTTTCTTTATATGTAAAAACTTATTTTCTTCGCATGATATGAGTCGTTAAATCTGATCTCATTACATGAAATCATATTTTTGATCTCACAACCAGTGTGCAAATTACATGTTGCATTTTACAGTGTGATTCTGATCATCATGGTTTAATACAGTCAGGGAGATTTCCAAATTTGTAAATTGATTCTAGAATAATCAGCAACCGTATTCAAAATCTGATTGGTACTCAACACCATTAGCATAGAGAATTTGATGACGCTTTATCAGTCAAATACTTCAAATAAAATTTGAAACTAATGATAGAAACATACTTTTACAAATATATTCTTTCAGAATCCTCCAGAATCATCTCAACTTTACATAGTAGTTTTTTATTAATTTGAGTTTAAAGTTTATACCTTTCTCTACAATGAATGCAAAAGCAGCTGCCAAAAACTTATCTTGTCTGTTTGAGTCTCTTGCTAATGAATATGATGAAAGTCAGTTAACAAGGTGTAAGACTAAACAGAATAAAAAATGGTAGTATGCAACAGCTAGTGCTGTAGCAGAAAGTATAATGAAAATGACTAAGTATTTTTCTAAATTATCTGTATTACTTAACTCTCTAGATAGTTACTCTTTATGTGAAAAGTATTACAATTAGATTGTCATTAAGAAGTATTATATTAAACAAGTTATGAAACTAGATGATTCAAATTTTTTAGATTCAGAAAAAAAAGAGAGAAAAAGACCAAAACTCTCTGGTAATATCAAGTTATCATCTTCTGAAAAAACTTTTTCTGAATTTAGAGTCCAAGTATCCTTGTCAGATGAAGTGCTTCTGAAAAGGATACATAATTTAAAAGACTTGAATCAGCAATTATTGTCTGAGAATGTGATACTAAAGCAGCAATTGAATGAAATATTTGCTGACCAACAAGTCCATATTAGAACTATGACAGAAATTGCTAAAAGAGAGTGAAATAATCTATATAATGATGTAACAAGTTTGATTAACAATCATGAGCAATTTGATTTAGATAATTTTTTAGAATATTCTCCTTCAAAATAGCTTGTAGAGTGAAATATAGTTATCATAAGATTTATTGAAATTCTTATACATAATGAAACTGAATATCAAAATAAAAGGAAGAAGCTTTTTAAGCATGCTATAGCAGTTAATGTTATATATGATTCATAACATCTGAAATATATTTTTGCTATTAACTTAGCCACTTTAGCAATCAAATATTTGTTAGTAAAATTAAAAATAGTCATTGATATCAATAATCATATTATGAGTTCTAGTTATTATAAAAAGTTTACTAACTAATTAAAAAGTTTAGTTATAAAATAGCAAAAGCTTCCTAATGATTTTTTATTTTTAGCTTTCAATAATGAATAGAAAGAATAAAAAAATTACTTAGATTGTGGATATAATATGATAATATTCTATACTATTATGAGTTTTGTCACTTTTAATTACAATTAGAGTGACGATATTCAAAATACAGATTCTTGGTTATATTCTGAACTTTCTAAAAAGAAATATGAAAAATTATTTTCTTTAACTTTAGGTATGAGAAATAAAATTCATACAGAACTTACTAATTATCTTATGACTATTTTAAATAAGCTTTATATGAAGAAAAATCAAGAAAGAAATGTGATTGATGAATTAATACATTATTAAAGTCAGATCGGATCTATTAAAAAATGCTTTACTTGTCAATTATTTAATATTAATAATAAGAAACAAGTCTATCTTACATGTCACAACAAATTATCAACAATTGCTAAGATGAATTAATTGAATGAGTCAGTTGATATCACAAATACCGCTACTGAAAAATCTATTATCTATTCTTATATATTTAAAAAAATATAATCAAATTCAGAGAGTGAGATTTATATATCATAATTATATATTCCTAATCTGATACTGATAAATCCAAATTCAACTACCAATATTTGAAAGATTTTTAAGCATATTAAAGAACTATCTGATATTAAGAATGATAGCTACAAATAGGTTATAATAATATATGATGGTATATCATATCATCACGCATAAATGATCAAGAAAGATTTTTCTTGGCTTATATTAATATCTGATACTCTTCATGAAGAGATGAATATATTAAAAGTATTCATCAAATTAAACTGATATATTGATATAAGATATTTTACTCAGTCTCAGGGATATCAAAGTGAGAGTCAGCTGCAATTCTTTAAAAAATATTTCAACTATCATAAGTCATAAGATTTAATATGCAATATATATAGGCATGTAATGGTCTCTGAATTGATATGACCATATATTATTTCTTCAGAAAATCTTTCTGTTGATGGTTATTTAAAATGGATCCAAAATCAAACTGATCTTATATTCAGGTTAAAGTATGAACAAATTTTTTCTTATTTACAAGTAATTATTAACTTTTATACTAGTATTTATTTCAACAGGTCTTTACTAAGACTCACAGCTAGATAAATATTTGCACCAATCTGGTCTGCTTGACATCATTCAATTTATTAATTGATTGAAATAGCTAATAAAGAACAAAGGATTGAAGCCTGAAATTAATAAGTTGATTCAAGAAAGAGTGGTAATATTATGATTAAAACTTTTAAATCAGTATCAAGATCATGATGTAATACTTGAAGAAATTAACAAATAACTCAAATCATTAATTTCTTCTATACCTTTATAATAATATTAGAAAATTATAATACGTAATTATACTAAAATTGTAAAATTGCATAATAACCTTTTTAATATAATAAAATATTCTGAAAGTAAATCATATAGGTCTCGTACATGTTCTAGTTTTATTACTGAATCAAACTAATTTCAGGTTCAGATAAGAAAAATACAGTTTGTAAATCTAAATACTTCTAATTATGGTTTTCATGATATAAGTAGTGAATTTATACTAAGTAAAAAAATAAAATAATTTAGTAAAATTATATAAATGAAGTAAACAAACTTTATTAAAACAAGACTAATTAAGAAAATACCATTAGATGCTTGATAATCAATACCAATAATAAATAAAGATATAAATAATCAAAAAGCTGAAAATATGTTAACAAAACTGTAACTTTTATCTATTATTAACTCTTTGATACCTCTTTTAAATGATTTAGAACAATCACATTTTTGAGACTTAGCAAATAAATCTTATGAAGATTTAATAAATATTCTTTAAGAAGTTAGATCTGAATTAAATAATAAAAATATTGAGTTTTAAGTTAATTAGCATATTTTTTCTATGTTTTGCAGTTGAATTTCAGAAATTTCTAGATGTATTTTTGTTATCATAAAAGAAATGATCTTTATTATTAAATTTAGAAATCTCCCTGACTGTAATAAATAATATTTGAATAATTCGTATTTATATAAAAGTTATCATTAAAATATACAATCTGAAATTAACTTATTAAAACAAGAGAATGTCAGACTTATAACTAGAATCATGAAATTAAAGCAGATTACAAAAAAAAATGAGCTTGAAGTTAGAATTGTGAAATTATAAAGTTAAATCAAGCAGAAAATACTGAGCTCAAGAATAAAATTGCAAAATTAAAATAAGTTATTAAGAATATTAAAAAGCAAAATCAAATAGTTACTAATAATTTAGTCTCACAAGATCTGCTTTCACAGAAATCTCTGGAATATTCCACTTTATTATCTAATAAGAATTGTGAAAATATGCAGATTAAAAATTCTTTAACTTATCATGAAGTGGATCAATTCATGACTAGCACTGACTTAGTAACTTCAGAATAGATAGTTAACATAATTTCCAATATATCTAATCTTAATGAAACTTGCTCCAGAAAATCCAAATCATTAGAAGATAAAGAAATTAATGTCATTTTAGATTCAGAAAATAGGAAAAGGATTAGTAACAAGATAAGATAAAGAAATATGAAAAAAAAGTTATTACATAGTAATGAAACTCTCATTTTTCAGGATCAGAATCTATCTTTAGTTAATCAGAATGCTTCAAAGGATCTGAAAAGATAATAAAATCTCCATTCTTATCATTATGTGATATAAAAATTATGATAAAATATTACTTTTCAATAATTGCATAAAATTTTTATCAAAAAATCAGCTAGTGATAATTAATACCTATGTCTAGAATCAAAAGTAAAGAAGAAAAATTTATTATAAATATATATACATCATAGTAAATAAAAGTTCTTTGTCTAAAATTAGCTAGAGATTGTCAAATACCTATTCTTCTATAGTTAGAATAATACACTTTCTGTGATATTATTTAATGATGTATATTATAACCAAAAAACTAACTCACATATTCTTTTCTACTAAATAAAATTATTTGTAAATTATGAATGATTAATCTCTCTAATATAATTACTGAATGTGGAAATAAAATCTATTTTATCTGAATAATCAGGATATTTGATTTTAATTTTTGGATTAAGTTTTTTTATTATCACTTTACTAATCCCTTTAATATTCTTTCAAACTAAGATATTTCAAATTAGTATAGTTGCTGACTATTTTCTTGATAACTTTATTACTAATCAAATAATTATCAAGCTCAAGATGTCTAAGTTTCTGGTATGAGTGAGTAATTTCAATAATACATTGATTAATAAGATATATACATGAATTAAGACTCAGATGCTATAGTTTTGGATAATATCTTATAATTTCTATAATTAATATATTAGTAAAATCATTATTTTGGTTAAGAATAAGAATGCATATATCTGAATATGAGTGTAGAATCACACTAATTAACATATCTTTGATTTTTAAATCTTCTAATCTGAGATATATTATTTTTGAATAATAAAAAGATTTTGTCTTTCCACACATAACTCTTTTAAACTTTATCAATTGCCAATAAAGAGATCCAGATATATTTTTTTTATACTGATCCTGCTAATAATCTTCTATAAAAAACTCAATGTGATATCATAGAATAGGAGCATTGCAGTAATA